TTTCGAACACACCAGGGACACTATGAGTATCTGGTAATGCCATTCGGCTTATGCAATGCCCCATCCACTTTTCAGTTTGCCATGAACTCTATTTTCAAGGAGTATTTGCGTAAGTTCGTTCTGGTATTCTTTGACGATATCCTGATTTATTCAAAGTCATGGGACGAACATCTTGGGCATCTAAGGATAGTTCTCGAAATTTTGGAGGCCAACTCATTCCACATCAAACCATCTAAATGTTCATTCGGGCAGGAGATGGTTGAATATCTTGGTCATTTCATATCTTATGACGGTGTGAAGGTCGATCCGCGAAATATTGAGGCTATGGTCGACTGGCCTAAGCCAACTAGTCTCACGCAATTGAGAGGATTCCTCGGACTCACAGGCTACTACCGAAAGTTCGTAAAGGATTATGGGACCATCGCCAAGCCACTGACAAGAATGACTAAGAAGTGCGGGTTCACATGGACCGAAGCTAGCGAAAAGGCGTTTGGAAAATTAAAAGAAGCTATGACGACAACGCCAGTACTCGCCATGCCCAGATTTGATGTCTTGTTCGAAGTACACACCGATGCGAGTGATATTGGAATTGGAGCTGTGCTAGTGCAAGAGGGGCGACCCCTAGCCTATCTCAGCAAGGCACTGGGCACTACTCGGTTAGGTCTGTCAGTGTACGTGAAAGAGATGCTAGCGGTTGTCGAGGCTGTACGGTGTTGGAGGCCTTATCTATTAGGTCGACGTTTTCAGATTGTTACCGACCAGCAACCGCTTAAGCACCTGTTGGAGCAAAGGATTGTTACCCCCGAGCAGCAGAAGTTCGTATCTAAACTTATGGGGTTTGACTTCGAGATAATCTATCGACCAGGTCGACAGAACGCAGTAGCCGACGCACTGTCCCGACGGACAGATGTGGCCGAATTGAGTGCGATCACTGGGCCTACTTGTGCCATTTGGGAAGAGATCAGGAAGGCGCAAGTAGAGGATACCCATTGCCAGGAGCTGCGCCAATCAATAGAAGCTGGTAAGACGACTGCTATCGTTTACGAGTTGCATAACGGTCTACTTCTACACCGAGGTCGAGTCTATGTTCCCGACAGTGGGCAGTTACGCGAGCAGATCTTGCAGCACTTCCATGACTCTAAGGTTGGAGGCCACTCGGGTATCTATCGCACATGGATGAGAATAGCCAACACCTTCTTCTGGCCCGGGCAACAGAGTACCGTTCGAGATTACATAGCTCGATGCGATGACTGCCAACACACTAAGTCTGATTCCCGGCGACCAAGTGGGCTCTTGCAACCACTACCAGTACCCGAGGCAATCTGGGAAGACATCACGATGGATTTCATCGAGGGGCTACCAAATTCTAATGGATTTGACGGTGTTATGGTTGTGGTGGATCGTCTCACGAAGTATGCTCACTTCATACCCATTACCCATCCTTACACCGCAAAATCGATTGCCAGGTTATTCGTGGAGTACGTGATGAAACTGCATGGAGCACCTCGGTCCATCGTCTCTGACCAAGAACGGATTTTTATGAGCATCTTTTGGTCTGAATTTTTTAAGCTTCAGGGGACCAAGTGATCTATGAGCTCAGCATACCACCCGTAGACGGATGGACAAACCGAGGTAACTAACCGAACACTCGAGCAGTACTTAAGGTGCTACGTCCATCAATTTCCGAAGTGGTGGGAAAACGTTTTACCATGGGCTGAATATTGGTACAACACCACTTACCACGAGTCGACCAAGATGACGCCATTCGAGTTGGTCTATGGGCGAAAACCCCCAACATTGATCAATTATTCGGAGGGGAGTACAGTCAACGATGAGGTTGGTCGAGAATTGGAGGAACGAGATTTGATGTTACGTGAGCTGAAGAGAAATCTCGAAGGATCAATTAATCGAACCAAAACCTTCGCGGATGGGAAAAGGCGTGAGGAGAATTTTGTACCAGGCGAGTATGCTTACCTGAAGCTACGACCATTCAGACAGCGTACGACAGCGCAAAGGGCCGCAACTAAGTTGGGAGTCCGCTACTATGGGCCTTATCAGATTCTAAAGCGCATTGGTCAAGTAGCTTATCGCCTTGAGTTACCAGAATGCTCACAAATCCACCCAGTTATCCATGTCTCGCAACTCAAGAGGAGTTTAGGAGAAGCGCAGAAGTACTGTGAGGAGTTGCCAACTACTGCAACCGACGGTAGGGCTATCATACGCCCCAGGCAAGCCATTGAGTACCGCAAAGTAAAAAGAGCAGGGCGCTATCGTTGGGAAGTACTTATTGACTGGGAAGAGTTGCCGCCTGAAGAAGCCACGTGGGAGGATCTTGAAGAGATA